AAGAATCTAAGCCTAGATAGAACGAAAAACTGGAACTAGAGAAAAAGAAGGAAGAATGGCATTCTGCTATCTTAAATGAATGAAAGTAACTGTAATTAAAGTGACTGAAGGAAGAAAGAAAGAACATGCCTAACAATTAGAAAGAGGGAATTTAAAGAATGGAAGGCCTTCACTTGCAACCAGTCCAAATTTCTTAGCAGTTCCTATGAAAATATACAAGTTTCCAAAGTACAAAGAGAATGACAGTCCTTGTCCCACTTCTTGGATAACTTGAAAAAGAATTAACATGGCTACAAGATAGGGAAAGAACAGTATATGACACCAAGAGAGCACACATGGTTCTCTTAGGGACCAAGAACAAAGGAATAAGATCTATATATCAAGCAAATCCATGAGGTGGAAGGGCAGGTACCTTAAGAAGCAAAAGAGAAATCCATGTGCCTTTCACATGGTCCCTTTACAATAGAACACTACAGAAATATATCTTCTGGGGTAGAAGGCAACGCCCCAAGCAAGCTCAAAACTGATGTGTCATGTATACATATTTGCAAGCCCCATAGAAAACTAATTGTGCTCAGCAAGTTTCACAGATGCATCTTCAGCTTTGTCATATGACCCCCAAGTGGACACAAAAAGGGTAAGGCAAATCTTTTGGATTGGATGTGGCAGGAATATGACCAAGTATATAAGATCTTGTAATAATTTCCAGTGAGTGAGGGACAAGGATGGACCCTTGCCTATCATGGAAACTCCAATCCAGAGAATGGCAGTAGACATTCTGGGACATACTCAACTCAAGACAACTTGTGGTAAACAGTAGATATTGATTCTTGTGTAATATGCCACTTGATGTTCTAATGCTCTAAGCTACGTTGAAGCTAAAGATATATGTCAGGCTGTAATAAATCTTTTTCCTGGGATTGGTTGACTATGGAGATCCTGATAGATGTAGTGACTACTTTCTGGTCAGTCAGAAATTGTGACTTAATCCTGAAGTGGATCCTCTTACATCAGTCATCTGCTATCAGCAAGCCACTGAAGTAGTGGAGACGTTCCATGGAATTGTGTTATGATTAAAACATTTATATAAGGATACTGCAAAAACTGCAACTTGGTATTATCTTCTAGTTTGGGGTTTCCTTCTTTTGAACTTGTGTAGGATAGAGATGTCTGCTGGAACTCATCTGATATCACTGGGTGGGAGAATAAGGAGGTAAACATCTTTCTATGGCAACCAATAATAAAAAAATAAATAAAAATAAAAAAAGTAATAATAGCGCACCAACGTGCCTACCGTCCCTGTCCTATTGTTTCTCTTATTCTTTTATTTTTCTTATATGTACCCATTTCATGTATTCACAACTATGTATACATTTATACTTATTATCTTGTAAACAATTGGCAAATCAAATAAATAAATAAATAAATAAATAAAACTACAGAACACCCCGAGAAAGACAGAGTACTCGATACAATTAAGTACTTTGAAACTGAACAGAAAGTCTGATATAATTTTCATGCCAGAGCATACAACTTTGAGCCAGAAGATCAGATATTGGTCCTCAGACTAGTGTCCATCAACCAGACTCAAGTGGCCAGGAAGGGTCCTTATCTATTGAAGAAAAGATGGGACAGCTTATCGATTGAAGAAAAGAAGGAACAATGACATGAACTTGTCAAGAACAAGGCTGAAACCTAGATTTCAGCATGTGAAAATATTCAGCCCTGCCACTCCAGGAAGTCAGTGTTGTTTAATATCACTGTAGACAATAAGGGTATTTCAAATTATCTCTATTTGGGAATTTTCTGGAGAGAAAAATTGTGTGGGATCCTCCCTGATACTAAAAGAAAAGGACAGTGCTTGGCTGTTATGTCGGACCTATGCTGACCTCTTCATAACATAACCAGAGCATTTTAAACTGTCCTGAACCCCAAGCTGGAGGCAGAAATATGCTTCTGTATGGATTATAGGAAACTAAATAAGAAAACAGTGATAAATTCAAGCTTTGCATGATACGCTGAACTATAACCTAAGCAATCATTTTAAAGAAAAGTGTTAAGTGAACATGGAGCTCTTTTAGCTCAGATTTTAGACAAACCTGGAAAAATTATCTAATTAAATATTATGGGTTTGTATTTTGTACTAGGATAACCAAAGTGTTCATTTTAAAATCCTTATCAAACTTGAGATGGTGTTATCTAAAATATTGTCTTTTTCCATCTCAGAGATTATCTGAACTTCCATCCACAAGACATTTTATTTAGTGGCTCTCAACTATCTGTCCATCTATATGCTATTAAAAGATAACATTTTTTATTTTTTTAAAAAAATAATCAAATAATAATAATCATATATAGTACCAGACAGCAAGTGCTGCTTCTGTGAAGAAGCTTGAGAAACAGTGAATCATCTGGGAGTAGCTGCTGCAAGAAGATTGCACAGACTGACGATGAACAATGGGATGATAAAGTAGCAACAATGGTGCATTAGAAGATCTGCAAGAAATATCATTTGCATGCAAGGGAGAACTGGTAGGATGATAAAATAGAGAAAACCATAGAAAATTTTAAAAATGGGACTTTAAAAGTCAAACAGACAGGCATCTGCCACATAACACTCTGGACTTAACAATTGTTGACAAGAGGGACAAAAAACTCTGGCTAGTGGAAGAGACAACACCCGGAGACAGCAGAATAGAAAGAACTGGAAAAGATAACAAAATGCAAAGACCTGCAAATAGAAATAGAATGACCATGACAAAAGAAAGCAAAGGTAGTACCAATCATAATAGGTGCCTTGAGTGCAATCCCAAACATCTGGAGCAACACTTGAACATCATCAGCATTGACAAATTCATCATCAGTCAATTGCAAAAGATAGTTTTATTCAGAACAGATTGCATTCTGCAACAATACCTCTAATACCATCAAACATCCATTTATTTGCCTATCCCAGTTCCTTGGGAAGGACTTCATTAGGGGATAAAATGCCAAATCTAGTATGAAGATCTGGCTGACTGTGCAATGAAAAATAATAGATATTCTTGCTGACATTTAAATATTCTCTTTCATTTTTTTCATATTTTTGAAAATCCCCCTTGCTTAGATGAAAAGTATGGTTTTTACTTGTATTCTTTAAATTTTTTCCTCTTTCTCTGATGTTATTAGTTGGATATGTTTAAGTTTGTTTATATGTAGGCAGCATAAGAATTTCTTCTCAGTGCATCAGATATTGGAGTTCTTTGTGTGTGTATACTCATGGTTCGTTTGTGAAAGTCTCAGATGTTTACAAAAGCTTGTGGTCATTGCCACAATTCAAAATGATAATATTTATATGCATACAGTATACGAACAGAAAACTAAGCATCCATATTCTCTTAGAATAAGTGAGATAGCACCACTGCCTGCTAGATCCACAATATGCCTGTAGAAAATTGGCATTAAGGATCACTATTCCTATGTTCTTGTCTGCAGCAAGCCTTCAGATGAAGTATTTGGGCATGTGTTGGATTAGTTTAGGATTAGTGTGGATATTTTCTGTCCTGTTGGATTCCACGAGTACATTTTTTTTTTAAAAAAGGAAGAAAAAAGAATAAAACCTGTGCATTTCTTGCTGCTGCCAGCATCATTTTCATGTATTAACAAGTACATTCCAGATTTTCCTCTGCAATTTATGTGGGATTGGTCTTTGTTGTTGTTGTTGTTGTTGTTGTTGTTGTTGTTGTTGTTATTATTATTATTGTTGTTTTATTTTTGGATATGAAGAAATTAAGAGTGTGATAGACTGCAAAAATGCCCATTGGCAGAAAAGAATTTATTTCTTTTGAGTGTGCATGCGAAGGATTGTGCTCCTAATACCCATCCACTGATAAATGTAAAAACTACTATGTATTCCAGACTTGTTTTAATCATAGCTGAATATTATATCTGCTCTAGCATGACAGTAGTTAATGGTAACCAGATTCATTTATACCAATGTTTGCAGATCCACTTCACATCTGCTTTCAAGCTATAGTGATGAGGTCAATTCTGAGATTAAGTATAGTCTACCATTATCCCTTGTTTAAACCTTTTTTCAAGTCAGAGTGCTTTGCTACTGTATCATTTCTTATGGGGGATGTTCATATAAATGTGAAAAATAAAAATTAAGTAGTTGAAGGTAGATGAATTTTGATAGTGAGGATGTCAATGAGATTTAGTTTCTTCAGTGGCACCATGACACTGTCAAATTTACCCCTAGCCATGAATTGTAACCATGCACCCTGTTTCTAGGCACATTTAACTACAAGAAACTAGGATACTTAGAGCATGAGATTTTAAGGATAAATTCATGGAAACATCTGGGAGATGTCAGTCTACTCATAAGAAGTACTATGCTGTATTAGACCAATGCCTTGTATAGGAAAGCATTCTTCCTAGAGGGGCCAGCTAACAAGTCCTGGAGGAAAAATAAAATACATTGGGAGAAAGAAAATATAAACTACTTTTGGTCTGTTATTGGACATCTGGACTATCACCCATCAAATGACAGATGAACATCTAATGAATCAAGATGTTGACTATAATGTATAGTATCTAATAGATTCAAAGGATTATCTGATGTGGTGACATATTTTAAACATGGCCATTCATTCCTATGCAATACAATGTAGCATTGTAGTATATACTAAACTATACTAATACTATACTATACAAAAATGTTTTTACGATTTTATAATCCCTTAATTTGGGGTAGAGTTGGGGGCCTTCTTGATTCCTACGTGGAATTTGTAGTAGATATTTTCTCTTCACACTTTGATAAAGCAAGGTCTACTGCCTAGGATTGAACTCTCAACCTTCCAAGTGGGAAGGCTACTAGGTCACCACTAGGCTACTGTGCCTATTGTATTGTATTGTGTTGTGTTGTATATGTGTGTGTGTGTGTGTGTGTGTGTGTGTGTGTGTATATATATATATATTTGTGTGCATGTCAAGTCTAATGAAATTTTTGTCTTTTATAGGAAGACCCTTCTCCTACTTACACTATGTATAGCTGTGGGTTGTGTGCAAAGACAGCAAGAAGGTAAGAATCATTTCTTATAGAAACATTTCTTATAGAACATGAATTATTTATTAAGAGAAAGGCATAGTTTTGATTTTGTTAGCATTACCTTGAAATGTTTTTGACTGACAATTTATCTAAATATCAGACAGAGTTGAAATTGATGCAGAAATTGAAAGAAACAAGTTTAGAAATGTTGATCTTTTTGAGATTACTCACACTTACTTTCTATGGAATTACATATTTAGGGAACAATTGTAAAAAAGAAGTCTTGTATTACGTTGATTTTCCAAATGTGAGCATTTGGTGGAACATAATAAAAATTGAAGCTGTACTTTTGGAGACTTTCAGGCTTATTAAACACTAATTCAGAATTTCATTTTTAAGGCCCATCAAAAGCAGTTCTATTTTTAAAAATTTACTTCCTTTAATTACATTTTAATGTGCTAAAGATGTGCTAAAAAAACATGTTTATGTTGTGTTACTGTTTGTATTTAGACTACTGAGAAATGGATAGATGCTTACTCTGGGAAGTTAAATTGGGAAGTAGCAATTATAGGCTCCATTATATCCATTTTATGACCTATGTGTGTGGGTTCTTCCACTTCATTCCTCTTGCCAGTGTTGGAAAACTTCCAAGAGGGAATATTTATTTATTTTATTAATTTAAATAATGTATATGGTTGCCCTTCTCTTAAGAGTGACTGTGGATAATATACAACAGTAACTTTTTGGGGAGTCTTGGAGCTACAATGTCTGATTTCTCTTTTGTGAAGTTCATGATCTCAGGTTGCTCTTCATGGGAAACAAGATATGATATCTCAATATACACTGCTCAAAAAAAATAAAGGGAACACTTAAACAATACAATGTTACTCCAAGTCAATCACACTTCTGTGAAATCAAACTGTCCACTTAGGTGGCAACACTGATTGACAATCAATTTCACATGCTGTTGTGCAAATGGAATAGACAACAGGTGGAAAGCATAGGCAGTTAGCAAGACATTCCCAAAAAAGGAGTGGTTCTGCAGGTGGTGACCACAGACCACTTCTCAGTTCCTATGCTTTCTGGCTGATGGTTTGGTCACTTTTGAATGCTGGCGGTGCTTTCACTCTAATGGTAGCATGAGACGGAGTCTACAACCCACACAAGTGGCTCAGGTAGTACAGCTCATCCAGGATGGCACATCAATGCAAGCTGTGGCAAGAAGGTTTGCTGTGTCTGTCAGCATAGTGTCCAGAGCATGGAGGCGCTACCAGGAGACAGGCCAGTACATCAGGAGACTTGGAGGAGGCCGTAGCAGGGCAACAACCCAGCATCAGGACCGCTACCTCTGCCTTTGTGCAAGGAGGGACAGGAGGAGCACTGCCAGAGCCCTGCAAAATGACCTCCAGCGGGCCACAAATGTGCATGTGGCTTCTCAAACGGTCAGAAACAGACTCCATGAGGGTGGTATGAGGGTCCGACGTCCACAGGTGGGGATTGTGCTTACAGCCCAACACCGTGCAGGACGTTTGGCATTTGCCAGAGAACACCAAGATTAGCAAATTCGCCACTGGTGCCCTGTGCTCTTCACAGATGAAAGCAGGTTCACATTGAGCTCATGTGACAGACGTGACAGGATCTGGAGATGCCGTGGAGAACGTTCTGCTGCCTGCAACATCCTCCAGCATGACCGGTTTGCCAGTGGGTCAGTAATGGTGTGGGGTGGCATTTCTTTAGGGGGCCGCACAGCCCTCCATGTGCTCGCCAGAGGTAGCCTGACTGCCATTAGGTACCGAGCTGAGATCCTCAGACCCCTTGTGAGACCATATGCTGGTGCGGTTGGCCCTGGGTTCCTCCTAATGCAAGACAATGCTAGACCTCATGTGGCTGGAGTGTGTCAGCAGTTCCTGCAAGACGAAGGCATTGATGCTATGGACTGACCCGCCCGTTCCCTAAACCTGAATCTAATTGAGCACCATTGGGACATCATGTCTCGCTCCATCCACCAATGCCACGTTGCACCACAGACTGTCCAGGAGTTGGGGGATGCTTTAGTCCAGGTGTGGGAGGAGATCCCTCAGGAGACCATCTGCCACCTCATCAGGAGCATGCCCAGGCATTGTAGGGAGGTCATACAGGCACGTGGAGGCCACACACACTACTGAGCCTCATTTTGACCTGTTTTAAGGACATTACATCAAAGTTGGATCAGCCTGTAGTGTTTTTTTCCACTTTAATTTTGAGTGTAACTCCAAATCCAGACCTCCATGGGTTGCTAAATTTGATTTCCATTGATAATTTTTGTGTGCTAATTTTGCGTGCTAATTTTTGTTGTCAGCACATTCAACTATGTAATGAACAAAGTATTTAATAAGAATATTTCATTCATTCAGATCTAGGATGTCTTATTTTCGTGTTCCCTTTATTTTTTTGAGCAGTGTATTTTCATCCCAGTTATGGATAGAAACATTTACTTTAGGGGTTGAAAGGACTTTACTTTTCCAAGCCATTTCCTTCTCCTTCAGAACTTAAGAAACAGAACAAATACTTCTCAGAGTTAGTTATAGAAAATTTAAGACTTGTAAAGAAATTTATGATATTCTGAAACAATTTGGATGTCAATTTACTTATAAGTAGAAATTCTTCTTGCATCATTTTTTATTATTTTGCAGAAGGTAATTTTTTGTTGTCATCAAATGAACAAATGTAAGTTTCATAGGTTTGTTATATTTATTTATTTAAAACATTTGTATATATCCATTCATGTAATATGTTTTTATTAACCTTGCTCTTTTCTCCAAGAAGCCTAAGGAAACGTTTATGTGGCATTTTCTTCTATCGTACTGTAGACGAAGGGGTGGCAACACCTGGGTTGGAGTTAAAAGTGGGATCGGCCTCGATAGAATCTCTATATAGCCACAAGCAGACTAAGTCCAATCCCCCTTGAATTCCATGGGCTCTTATCTAACTCTAAGCAAGTGCTAATCACTAGTTGAGAAAATTCATGTGTGCAGGCTGTTTAGCAGTAAATGAGTTTAATTGAACCTTCGTGTGTTGATTTGATCTTTTGTATCTGATGCTTACTTCCCAATAATCCTACAAGTGAGTTAGGTTGAGAGAATAATAAATTCACATCATCTATTTTGTTTTGGCTGCGCATAATTTGATAGGTGCACAATATAGTAAGTGAGCTTCGCTTTCAGGCCTACTGACTTTGGAGTTAACTGGATCCTCCTCTAAGGACTTTCTTCATAGTTGCATAGTTGCTCAGAAGACTTATCTGGCCTCCAAAAAGCTGTTTTTGGATTCGGGTGTAAGCAATCAATTTGTTTAGTTAAGAAAAAAAGCTGGAGCAGTGTTGCTTACTTTATGCTTGTAGTGGAACTCTTGTTTAAGAAGCCTAAATGCAAAGCCCAAATATAGGTCTAGTTTAATAGTTTATTGGAGCCTTTCTGATATATATTTACTCTTTGAGCATTAGATAAATATATGATAAATTCAAACAGCTATTGATTGCCCCAAAAGCTTTGAGATGAGACAGTCTAAAGACTTGTATTGTCTGACTTGTCTGTCAAAATCAGCTTCTTATTACAAAAACTCACTTAAAATATAGAATAAAATAAAATATAGAATGTGGTATCTACAGGAGAAAAAAAGTTTGTTGGCTTTTTAACCATGCTTCCTTGGCAATGGTGTATCAGAGGGATAAAACACAGCACAGCTACCCTTATCCCCCACACTGTAAGAAAATGATTAATGAAATCTGCAAGCAAACAGGGAAGAAAGCATTAGTCTTCTGAAGTTGAAACAAGTCATTTTCAAGATGACAAACCATAAATATTTGTTGCAAATCTCCTTTGAGGTTTTTTTTTTTTGTTCTTTTTAATGTACAGAGTAAATGAAGTCAGATGCCAGCATCTGTGCAGAGAAAAGAAAAAGAATAGTTCCTTAATGGATTTATTTTTTTAAAAAAGCACCTGGACTGGATTATATGTTCTAAAAGCATCTATTTTTAAAGCATCTTCTAAGAGAATTATTATAGAGAGCTGGTTTGATGTAGTAGTTTAGGCACTAGACTAGAAACTGGGAGATCATGAATTCTGGTCCTGCCTTGGGCACAAAGCCAACTGTGTTACCTTGGGCCAGTCACTTTCTCTCAGCCTTAGGAAGTGGGTGAGAAATAAACCAGTTTTGAAATCTTGCCAATGAAACCACTGATACTTAGTCCAGCCAGTTGCCAGGAGTCAACATTGACTCAATGGCACAAAAACAAACAAACCAAACCAAAAACAAAATAAAAACAGTATTATTTTTAGAGGGGAAATTTTGAGAAGGCATGAATGTGTGGTTATAACTTTTAGATTTTAGTATTTAGTATTTTAGTATTTATTTGATTTGTCAATCTTTTACAAGATACAGGTATAAGAATAAATATAGTTTTGAATACATGAGATAGATACTTATAAGAAAAATAAAAAAAAACAATGTAAAAAAATGTAAAAAAAAGATGTAAATTCAAGTTGTGAAAGCTGGTTAAAAAGAATTTCTAAGGTACCAAGCTTCCACAGAATTCTAATGCTACAGGTTAATTTATTTACTACTACTACTAAAAAAAACAAGACAACCTCCTTTTCTAACCCACATTCCATTTTTTTCAGAGCACTGAGTAAAATAAAGGGGAAAAGTGCTTATTTTTCCACTCAGAAATTCCCTATCTAGTGATTTTTCCTCAAACTCTGAAAATCCTATGAGAGATACTTTTCTTTTTTTGCATTCAATCATGTCCAATTCTCAAACATTACCTGGACAAGTCCCTGCAATTTGGCAAGGTTTTTCAGAAGCATTTTGCCGTAGTTTCCTTCTTAAGGCAAAGGGAAAGTGACAAGCACAAGGTTACCCAGCAGCCTTTGTGCCTAAGACAGGGCTAGAATTTACATCTTCTGATTCTTGGCCTAATGGCTTGACATCAAATTGGCTTTCTATGAGAAATATAGGCCCCACTGAAAAATAGAAAGCTAAAACATTATTGTGTTTGTTAGATTCTGGGCTTTATTTCTAATCTTTTTTTCCCCCAATAAGGGATAAATGACACTTTGAATTACAGAATGACCAGTTCTGTACAATTTTCCCAAATTAAGGCTTAAATACATTTATTTTATGCCTAAACATCCAAAGGAATTGGAAAATATATAATGCCATCTCCCCATTCAAATGATATGTCTTTCAGTGCCTCTGAATACAGTATGCTGGCTCTGTCAATTGTAAAATATACCCCTAAGTATTATTTAACAGCCTCTTAATAACAAAGCATGTAACTAATTTTCTGAAGGGGTAATACATAATTGTATATTCAGAGACAATTCCAAAAGTGTGAGGATTTTGTGTGAATATATATGTTTAAGTCTGTTTACACACACGTACTAGAAAAGTGGGGGGGAAAGGTGTCAGTACTTAACATTTTGCTAGTAATATTTTTGGTAAACAGAAGGAAGTCAAATTCAGAAATTAGTCTGAATTTTTGGGAAAAGTCTGTGGAAATCCTTCTGTTTATTCAGTTTTGGCATTTGCTTCCACTTGTATTAATGCTGATGAATAATTGATTTTTCATCATTTTAGTCTAATATGCTAAAATGGTATGTTCCGAGGCTCCTGGCCTGAGCCCAAGATGTAATTTTGCAAATTACTTTTGAGGCTAAATTGTTGATTGATCGTATGAATTATTATTAAACTACCATAGCTCATATGATTGGATATTAGGACTTAATGTGGTTTTAATAAGTAGCTTTGCATAATTTTTGGGATTTCTTCACAGCCACCCTATCCTACGTAAGTTTTAATCTATCAGAACAAACCAGGCATCAAAAAAGAGTTCCACTCATTGGAACTGAATAATCCAGAATTTCTCAACCTTGGCAAGTTTATAATGGGCAGTCTCGGGAATTCTGGGAGTTGAAGTCCACCCATCTTAAACTTGGAAAGTTTTGGAAGTTTAGGGAACTTTTCCCTAAAAAGTTGTTTGGAGGGTACTTTAAAGTTAAGAATTAGTTGTTAAAGTTAAAAATGCAGGAGTTGATACCTGTGTTTCTCCCCCCCCCCCTTAAAAAAGTTCACCTTAAAGGTACTCCTTTTCTTTTTATCTTGATGGGGCTCTGTGATTAGAAAAAAAATCTGTGTGGTGAAAAGACTTCTTTTCACAGAAAAAGCAAAAGAAGAAATAAATAAAAAAGATATGGATAAGAAAGCGTTCAACATACTTTCCCTGGTCATCTTGTACTTTAAAAACTTGCTTACATTCTTTTAAGATTGTGTAATGTGTTCAGCTTCTGTTGTCATCCTATATATGAAAGGAGGGAGAAATCTAAGATTTTCGATGATGGGCACTTTCCTATCACATTATTTCCACTTCGTGATCGCTCCAAAACAGCTTGTCAAGCCAAGCTGTTTGATTTGACTGATGTCTGTACATAAAAGCAGAAGAAAAACAACAACCTGGAATGCAGGTTGTGATAAAGGGTTCCTACCAATGAGGGATAGAAATGGGATGATCAGAGAACTATCAATAGAGGAGCAGACTACCTGGAAACAGATCTGAAGCTTTTCAAGGACAATTTAAAAAAAAAACACATTATAATTATTTTGTATAGGCAATGATTTTGAACTTGAAAGCTGGTAATAGATCTACTGTCAGTACCAGCACAGCTGATATCATGAATAGGAACACATTCAGAGCTGATTTTGATCTTTGATTTTGATCCAGTCTGGTTATGCAAAAAAGCTGTAGTTTAGCAACATTCCTCTGCTATATGAGGCATGACAACATAGTGTATTTTTCCTTTGAATTAGGTGAGAGAAGAATCAGGACTCCCTTTGTTTCTATAATATACAATTCCTTTTGCTTTCCATTACAGTCTCAAATAAATTGAAATCTTACATTTGCTTAGTATAATTCTTTGGAGTAGAAGGGAAAATGTACATTTTCTTTTCTTTTGATAAGTATAGAATGTGTTCAATTTTTGAAATTAAGTAATTTGTATTTTATGTTTTTAATATATATATATATTTTAGTACTTGTGCATGTTATTCTTTTTAGTTTTAAATTTAGATACATCACAAAGAAAAAGTAATTTGCTTGGCATTGGCTTCAATTTACATTTTGATAACTGAAAATAACAAAGTCTGAGTTTTATTATTTCGCTTTGGAGAGATAGATGAATCTGTTTTTCTGGAAAAAGTCTTAAATTTGCTATTGATATAAAGAAAGATACATCTGCTGATTTTGTGATGAATCCTTATAACTTTAAACTATAGATTTTCTAAATCTATAGAAAATCTGTGGAAATGGTCGACCTAAGTTATCCCATTTAAAAAATTAAAAATTAGAGAAAAAAATAATTGTAAAGTTTGTTGAGAAGAAAATTGAAAGGTTTGTTGCTTCTGCTGAAGTAAACTCTAATTTATCCTTGTGGCTTAATATTGATTTATCTTTAAGGCTCTTCTTTTTGCTGTAGCCAGGCTTAACACAGCCTTCCTTCTGGCAATCATTAGGGGAATTATTATCCTCATCTAAAGGTCATAGTCATGGTCAGCCATCTGGAAATAACATTATAATGGGATGCAAGGCCATGTAAGAGCCCATTATCTCATTTTCTAAAGTTATGTCATATATAACTGATGAGTGTTTATCCTAGTATCTGCACCATTTGTATGTCTTATGTTGGTGGGAATCAAGCATGTTGCAGACCTGCATGTGACAGATTTGCATTTTACCGAACAGTGCCACTTTCAGATGTCTAAGTGAAATTGGTGCAGCAATTTGCAAAAATTGCTACAAACTGCGTGAGTGAATTTAAGCAAGCATCATTTTTCTTACCTCCTTTTCTTTCTTTTCCAGGCATAGATGTTCTCCATCATTTAGGCCTAAGTGGGCAAACTATGCATCATCCAACAACAGGGCCTTTGATACGTCTGTCACATGCTTCATCACCTCAAGGGATTCACCTAACTGAATTTGGAGTTCTTTTATCCATTCAGACAGCCATTGAAGTTCCCATCTCTCAAGTGGGGGTATCAGCTTTAGGTTCCAATTTTGCCATGCTAATTAGCTTACGCTCTTACAAAGTAAACAATGCCTTTCTTTTCAGTATTAGGAATAAAAACAGACTGCAGTTTGGTATACAGCTGCTACCAAGGAAGATAATTGTGCACACTGGAGGCAAGCACTCTGTATACTTTGATTATCGGGTTCATGATGAGCAATGGCACACGTTTGCTATTGATGTTACAGAAAAATCAGTCTCCCTATATACTCAGTGTGGAAGGAAACACTTCAGGAAGGAGATTCTTTCCAAAGTACAGTTTGATTCACATAGCTTATTTACCTTAGGAAGAATGAACTTCCAGTCAGTCCACTTTGAAGGTGTGTTATGTCAGTTGGATATTATCCCCTCTGCACAAACCTTGACAAACTATTGTAAATATGTGAAACTACAATGTCGCCAAGCTGATACATACTGGTTTCATACAATTTCTCCAAGCGAGGAAAACTCAAGCAAGCTGTTGGATGAAGTAACCCAACCATTAAGTAAAAGAAAAGGTACATTAAATCTTCACGTCAGTAAGTCATCATTGGTCAAAGATCCTCAAGAATTGATGCAGACAACTTCTTCCTTGACTCCTCTTTACTTAGGGAATATTACTGCCTTGTCAGAACCAAATGACCAGCAAATTGTGAATGTCTCCAAAAAACACCAACATTATGTCAGCAAAAGGAAAGGGGATTCCTTGCCTCTCACAAAATTAACTTTAAATTATACAGACTCTATGACAGAAAATATGAAAAGAAAAATGAATTCCAGTTTGCTGTTTTCCATAAAGCAGCCTAATGCCAAACATATGATGAAAAATACATCAAAGCCATATTTATATGAACTAATGGATATGCATCCGTTTTTAAATACAACATTGCATGAAGATTTTCATTCCGAACCTTTAATTAACCGGTTTAGCTCATGGGATGAGCATACAGTTCAGACTGATGAGATTTATAATGCTGAAGGCAATTACGAATTTGATGCTGATTATTATGATTATGATTATGAAGAATGGGAGAGACTACTTGACATGGAAAATCTTAAGGGGCCTAAAGGAGATCCTGGACAGGTGGTAAGTGGCTTTCATTTGTGGTATCTAATAAAATATAAGAATTCTCAAGCCACATTACAGGGATTTACCAAGGTTATTATAATGCAGGAATTTCCTGTAATTTCAGTTTTCTGTGCTAATGGTGGGAATATGAGAAATAACCTGGGCTTTTGGTATTTTATAACAATGAATATTTTGTTGTAGATAGATTTCCTGGAAATTCTAGAGAAATGTATGTTGCACAAAAAGCCAAACATAAGGACTGCTGTCCTCCAAATGTATTAGAGTTTGGGAGATCACAAGGCTAAGTAAAGTTGGACTAGATTGTTTTCCCATGAATTAAAAGCCATTGTTCAAGTAATAAAAGTTTCTGAATCCATTCTATCTCTGCGTGCTAGTTCTTATAGTGATGGTAAATATATGTTGTGAATATGGAATGGATTAGACCAGGGCAATATTCTTTACATGAAAACTAGATGGGAATTTTTCACCTTGTCTCCATGAATCCCCACCCTATATGTTTATAGATTCATACCTCTGTAGTCTTTAAAACTTCTTATGGGGCATGATATCTATAATAACATTTTCTTTGGGGGTAGGGCATACCTGTTTCCTTATAAATGCACACACCTTCTTAGAAAACTGATACTTTAAAAAAATTCTGAAATGACCGAGTCTATGGAGATTCTTAGTCATCCAGGCCATGGTGGTCATCCAAGAGGCTGAAGAAATGAAATTCAAAAGCAAACTGGAAGAATGTAGCCCACTTGTAAGTGGTGCCAGAATTAAAATAACAAAATAGTTTCAGCCCAGATTTAGAGCATCTGATTATTGGATACCTGGGGAACTAATGCTGACAAATTAATCTTCTGAAACCTTGTAGACCTGTTCTACAGCAGCTTCCATGTAAATGCATACCATCACTAGCATGCTAAGAAGCTAGCAGTTTTGTTCTTAGTTATTAAAGAAGAAACTGACAAGAAAGGGATAACTGCATTGTGGTAGCTAGCAGGCAGAGGCAAGACTTTTGTCATGCCTTGGAGGAATCTTCTTCTTTTAACTTTGCCTTCTGCAGGAGAAGGAAAGAGCCAAGAAAAATGCAGTTATTCTAACTATTGCTTTAACAGAAGAAATAAAAGAGAAACGAAAAACAAAAGGAAGAGTATAAAGGAACCTTCTAAAGCTGTGTACTTCAGGAGATTGTAAGTGATAGCAAAAACCGGATAATGGCCAAGAGTGACAGGAGTGTCAAACTCACGTCGTCACGGTGTCGTCACGTGACATATTGTGACTTCCCCCCCTTCGCTAACTGGACGTGGGCGTGGCCAGCGCATGACGCATTCGGCACGAGGGCCGTGAGTTTGACACCCCTGCAATAGAAACTAGGAGATCTGCATGGGCAATGCAAAAATATTCTGCTAAGGGACAGAAAGAAGGGTAGTTTGTGAACCATGGCAGTTATGTGACCACAGCTAATTTTGATTTAGTCCATAAAACAAAGTTAAGCAGATTATGGGTTAGCATGTTATATGGACACATATAGCCATAGTCATTGTTTGATTATCTAAATATATTTTGTTCCATGAACTAGTGATCTACTATTATTGTAACTGATCTAAGCTGCTTTCGACTACACTGCTCAAAAAAATAAAGGGAACACTTAAATAACACAATGTAACTCCAAGTCAATCACACTTCTGTGAAATCAAACTGTCCACTTAGGTAGCAACACTGATTGACAATCAATTTCGCATGCTGTTGTGCAAATGGAATAGACAACAGGTGGAAAGCATAGGCAGTTAGCAAGACATCCCCAATAAAGGAGTGGTTCTGCAGGTGGTGACCACAGACCACTTCTCACTTCCTATGCTTTCTGGCTGATGGTTTGGTCACTTTTGAATGCTGGCAGTGCTTTCACTCTAGTGGTAGCATGAGACGGAGTCTACAACCCACACAAGTGGCTCAGGTAGTGCAGCTCATCCAGGATGGCACATCAATTCAAGCTGTGGCAAGAAGGTTTGCTGTGTCTGTCAGCGTAGTGTCCAGAGCATGGAGGCGCTACCAGGAGACAGGCCAGTACATCAGGAGACTTGGAGGAGGCCGTAGGAGGGCAACAAGCCAGCATCAGGACCGCTACCTCCGCCTTTGTGCAAGGAGGGGCAGGAGGAGCACTGCCAGAGCCCTGCAAAATGACCTCCAGCGGGCCACAAATGTGCATGTGGCTGCTCAAACGGTCAGAAAAAGACTCCATGAGGGCCCGACGTCCACAGGTGGGGGTTGTGCTTACAGCCCAACACCGTGCAGGACGTTTGGCATTTGCCAGAGAACACCAAGATTGGCAAATTCGCCACTGGTGCCCTGTGCTCTTCACAGATGAAAGCAGGTTCACACTGAGCACATGTGACAGACGTGACAGGGTCTGGAGATGCCGTGGAGAACGTTCTGCTGCCTGCAACATCCTCCAGCATGACCGGTTTGGCAGTGGGTGAGTAATGGTGTGGGGTGGCATTTCTTTAGGGGGCTGCACAGCCCTCCATGTGCTCGTCAGAGGTAGCCTGACTGCCATTAGGTACCGAGCTGAGATCCTCAGACCCCTTGTGAGACCATATGCTGGTGCGGTTGGCCCTGGGTTCCTCCTAATGCAAGACAATGCTAGACCTCATGTGGCTGGAGTGTGTCAGCAGTTCCTGCAAGACGAAGGCATTGATGCTATGGACTGACCCGCCCGTTCCCCAGACCTGAATCCAATTGAGCACCATTGGGACATCATGTCTCGCTCCATCCACCAATGCCATGTTGCACCACAGACTGTCCAGGAGTTGGGGGATGCTTTAGTCCAGGTGTGGGAGGAGATCCCTCAGGAGACCATCCGCCACCTCATCAGGAGCATGCCCAGGCATTGTAGGGAGGTCATACAGGCACGTGGAGGCCACACACACTACTGAGCCTCATTTTGACTTGTTTTAAGGACATTACATCAAATTTGGATCAGCCTGTAGTGTTTTTTTCCACTTTAATTTTGAGTGTAACTCCAAATCCAGACCTCCATGGGTTGCTAAATTTGATTTCCATTGATAATTTTTGTGTGATTTTGTTGTTAGCACATTCAACTATGTAATGGAGAAAGCATTTAATACGAATATTTCATTCATTCAGATCTAGGATGTCTTCTTTTTGTGTTCCCTTTATTTTTTTGAGCAGTGTATATTCTTTTCATTAGGTTTGTTATTTTATATGGCTTTTAATTCTGTGTATTGTTAAGTTGTCAGTCTCTTTGGTGCCCTAAGATTCTGTGACTGGTTTTACATACAATGCCAAACTGGGGGGATTTTTTTAACCATATATAATTGAATAAACCACAGTAACTTAATTCATATGATATAGTAAGCTATACATTATAGTTCAGAAACTACAATGGCTAATTCACCCAACCAAAATCCAAACAATTTGATAAATGTCTTTTCAAACAATTCACATTATGCATGTCAAAATTTTCAACTTTCTATTTCCAAACATTAGACATAATAAAAGTTATGACGTGCCTTGGGGATGGTAACGATATTTTGGTTACTTTAGTATAATTTAGATGTGCTTGGTAAGTAACTATATCATAACTTTTAAACATTGTTTCATATGAGCTTTTACTTTGTATTCCTTTTCCATTCTGCACAAATGAAACTTCAGAATTTTTATCAGAGTAGTCACGAGGGATGCTTCATGTATCTTTATATGTGTGTGTGTTTGTGTGTGTGTGTGATGCATACATGTGAGGAACAGAACCTTTCAATATGCAAATTCAGCTCACATATTTTATGTAATGGAATTCCTACAGAGGTTTCTAATATGTATGCGGTTTTAATTGTCCGAAATTGCTTTTCAGCTTCATTTTTCAGAAGTATCACATCGTTGGCAACCATAAGGTGTTTTAAAGTAAAGTTGCATCAATATTGGACCAAAAAAATTATGGTGGAATATTTAACATGTGCATCAATCATTATGAATATTAATTTTTAGTGCAAAACTAGAAACTAAAAAAATCTCTATATTAGAATGTTATATTCCAAAAAATGATTTTTTATCCCTGAAAAATTATGAAGGGAACACAATCCTTACATTGGTATAAAGGCCTAAAATATATCCACTGGTTATGGGAATGTATGATGCTAGATGTATCTGGACAATAAATTTTAAGCATTTATAAAGCTCTTTTCATGGTATGTTTTGTATAATATATATGCCAGGCACTCTGTATGGTTTCCCTCCATGATCAGGTGCCAAACAATTCCTTGCTTATTTGGGAGTTAAATCAACCACAAAATGAGTTTCAGTTGTTTATTTTAACATTCCTGCTGTCAGAATTCTGGCTTAGCCTGGTATATGAACATGGCTAATGCCTACTCTCTGCTTATTCTTAGAGTTAATAGACAAGAGTGGCAAAATTTACAAGCCTGATTAGGCACTATGAACAGTTAACATGCTCATTTGATGCCGTCTTCACTTCTGTTCCATATATTCAAGTGACACAGAGTTATCTTATTTTCCAAGTCTAGAATGGCTGCTAATTTTAAAGTCCCTAAAGACAGAAAGGCTGGGAAGAATTTTTTTCTATTTATATATATTTATGAAACTATCAATCCTCTACCAAATGAATGACATGCATTTAATTGGTACTCTTTGTTTGTGTTTAGGTATAGAATTTTGTGTGGTGCTTTATTTCTTGCAGTCAAGTAAAACAAAACAAAACTGCACTACACTTAAAAGAACCAACCAACAAAAAACAAACAAATAAATGGAGAAGCCAGAAATTTTCCTAAGATTTATAGAATCAGTTATAATAATTCATGATTGCTAATCTCCCATCTTCATAAAAATATTTGTGGACAACACCATTTCAGAAAGAAGGATAGTTCAGTAGAGAAAACGATTGCATTCCTGTATCTCTTACAGTAAGGTTATAACAACTTATATTAATTGATCAGCTTAGTAATGACTGAAATATGACTGTGTTAAAAAATTCAACATGGCTATTTTCAAGGCAGATATACAGGGGTGGGATTTAACCAGATGTTAAATTTACATCTGATTCACCAAACCGGCAGTTGAACCGACCGGCCGGCCTTGCCCACCCCATCCCACCCCTCCCAGGAGTCTCCACGCTGCCCGTTTCGAAGTGGAATGCAGGTAACATGGAGGCTCTGGGAGGATGAAAAATGGCCCTCCCAGAAGTTCTGGTAGGCCACGCCCACAATGGCCATGCCTACCCAGCAACCCGGCAGAGAACCAGTTGTTGGGATTTTTGAATCGCACTCCTGCATATACATCTCTGAATGTATCACAGCTTCTCCAGTGAAGGCAGCATGTTAGAAATACTGCCATTGTTGAAGGTATTGAGGGACCTCGTAAGGAAATATCACTGAAAAGATGATCCAGTGGGTCGTGCCTTATCTAGTATATTTTTTAAAATATAGTTATTTTAGATAGGCTTCTGCAGGATTGAAGCTACGCAGCTGTAATATAATTTAATTAGAGCAATCACGGGAACCCTGACAACAGCAGCTAATTATACTTTTCATTCCTTTCTGCTTTGCCTTTATTACATCAGGTCACAATGAAAATGATTTTTGTATTACAAAAATCAAATGGAAGATTGAATTTGGCACAAATTCAGGAATTGTGGTGTGATAGGCTTTAGAAATTCGGATTGGCCTTCAGTTCTAAAAAAATATTGAGCTCCATAAGTCAAATTAATTACTTTCTCTCAACAAAATTGATTGAGTGTGAAATGTTCCCTGATACACCAAAAGGGTATTAAAATAACAACAATACCTCATTGGATATTCTTGACAGCAGATTTTATAGAATTCTTACAGGCGTTTTTTTCTAGAGATGTAGTTTGGACAACCATCTCTAAATACTTTTCGATCTTAGCTTGCTCAGTTGGTATCCTGCCTTTTGTCAGCTGTTTCAATGATCTTTTGGCTAAAACCTTACTTTTTGCGAACTGATGGCCTTCTTTACGATAGATGGTTAGTGTTTTCAGGCTTCTTGTTATTTCTGTAGATATTCTGGAAATGATTAGACAGTTGGTGCATGTGATTAGTTCTCTGTATCTATGGGGATTTAAAGGCATGTCTAATTTTGTTAGTGTATATTTCAATAAGGATATGTTTAAAATTAAGAAATGGTCTAAAGTTGGCCAATCCATCCTAAGACTTGCATGTTTATCTAGCAAGTTATCTTGGCTTAACCAATCAAGCAGCCATAAATATAAATGGCTGTCATAAAGGTGACAGGTTTGCAGTTTAGAATCATAGAATAACAGAGTTGGAAGGGACATTGGAGGTCATCTAGTCCAACCCCCTGCTCGAGCAGGAGAGTCTATTCCAAATATTAGCCTCTGCCTAGGATAGATGCAAGGTTGATGGCTTATTAATTCATTTATCTTTCCTCATTTTCAGACCTTGATAATTTAGTTACAATCTAAACCAGGTTGTAGTGGTCATCAGCTGAAGTTTCCTGCTTAAACTGCTATTGTATATTAATCAAGTATTGTGTCTCACTAGAAGTTACTGTCTGAGCCACCTAACCACTGTTGCTGTTCTTCTAAGGCATATGCTAGTCATTGTGGTGTTTAGTATAAGCATTTTTTTCAATTTCAAAAATCCTATGCATTTAGTTAACCTATTGTAGGTAGGGAACTAAACTAATGAATAATTTCAATTTCTGAAATACAGAATTTAAGATTGTCATTCCTATGCCAGATTTTTGTGTTCATCGTTTTGTTATGTTTCATTTCCCCTTTAGGGACCCCCAGGTCCTCCAGGATTACCTGGCCCAGCAGGAAAGCGAGGCCCAAGAGTGAGTAGATATCTCTTTCCAGAAATACACCTTTTCACAATCAAGTAGACCACTTGTTTCTGAACTGTCTTAATGTATTTTTAAAATGTAATGTTTTTAATTGATTTTCTGTAGGAAATTAGCAGTGCATTTTTTTTTACACTGCAACTAACTGCAACTAACTGAATGTAAACTTTGAACTTATGTGATAACAAAAAATATATCAGAAGCCCAGTGTCCAGTTTTATTTCCTTTTTGGAGTGAGGTAGAATGGACTTCCCAGAATTTTACATCCTGAAGGTAGAAAGCAAAAAACAGTAAAGAAACTAGTGCGGGCTTTCACTGCTAATATCTCTTCAGCAATGTTGAGCTTCAGGGTTTAGCGACTGTGGTTTAAAGAACATATTTCCTTTAGTTGCTGGCAAAACGTTAAGAAGTGTTTTCTAGGCCAGTGGTCACCAACCAGTGGGCCAGGGACCACTGGTGGTCTGCGAGAAAATTTTGGTGGTCCGCAGAGAAATGCCCCCCCCCGCAAACAATTAATCCAGGCTGTGCGGGAACACAAGGCTGCGCCGCCCATATGGCCCACCCACCCGCTGGCCCCTACCCTTCAGCCGAGCGCAAACCTTATCTTGAGTAGAGCCACGTGAGCTGGAACTGGAAGGTAAGATCAACGGCGGGGAGGGAAATCCATCCCAGGGTGGCTTGCTCACGTTGGTGGGAAAGTCGGTCTCATATTCCAGAGCTGCAGTAATCACAAGACTGGCCCTTTGGTCATTCTGGAGCAGCTCCTTCATGGCAGTCTGGTGCACCCGGATGGAGGAGCAGCTGCTCTGGGATGACCAAAGGGCCAGTCCTGTGACTACTGTAGCTCTGGGGACCAACTTTCCTACCAACGTCAGCAAGCCATCATCAGTCAAAATTCATAATAGTGGTCCACGGGACTTAAAATTATGAGTTTGGTGGTCCCTGAGGTCCAAAAGGTTGGCGACCCCTATTCTAGGCCATGGTCACTAAACTGTTAAGCACAACACTGCCAACAGTGAAGAAACTGTTAAAGTTGCAATCCTATAATGCCTCTTTACTCTTTTGATGTTGTAACAATGTGACTGACTACAATTTCTGTCTCTTTGGGTAAAGCAATGAATTGTATTCAGGAACGTAACAATGCACATGTATTTTTCAAAACTTAACAAACTTTCTATAACAGAAATTCTGAAATTCAGAATTTGCCTGTTGGTTATTATATATTTTATTGTTCTCCCATGTTGGATTTTTTTTTTGGTCTGCAAGTTATATGTTAATAATACTTACATAATAATATGGAAGCTTATTTTAGCTTTTTTCTGTTAAACATTGGTTGAGGCATTAAGAAAGGAATTTATGGCATGTTATGATGAACAAAAGCTAACTCATCAAAAACATGTTAGCCTGGCTTATATTAAAGTTAACTGAACTGATGCACATTCCATGTGTGTTGGCAGCCAGCATACAAAAATCTACTCTTGACTGAAAATTTGGCATGTCTTTTTACCAATTGGAGAAAGAGAAATTTCTACAGTGTCTGTTTATTATTCCTCACCCACTCTTTAAGACTAATTATCATCGGCTAAGTTGTCAAGTGACAAACAGTATAGTTAAGGAAAATGTTTGAACCCACCCATTATGGCCTTGTGTGATATGTCAGCAAGTCCACTAAGGCTCATTTGGCAATAATGATTTTATAATCCTTGCTTAATGTTATATATGAATTGAAATGCTAACAGAAATGACAGGGCTATATTGTTATTCAAAATCACAAAAAGAAGGGCATTATACCAAATTCTTTTGAATTCAAAACTCATTCCTGATAAGTAACTTATGCATGAAACATATTTTTGTAAAAGAAGGTTTTCTGCATTGGCTTTGGTTACCAAAAGCACTTGGAATTGATTTTGTATCATTTTCATTAGTTAGCCATACATAAAGAAATACAAGTAGTCCTCAAATTACAACAGTTCATTTAGTGACCCTTTGAAGTTACTGAAAAAAGTGACTTACAACCATTTTTCACTCTTACGATGGTTGCAGCATCCCCATGATCAAAATTCAAAATTCGCTTGGAACTGACTCATATTTATGACCGTTCCAGTGTCCTGGGACCATGTGATCACCTTTTGTGACCTTCTGACAAGCAAAATCAATAGGGAACCCAGATTCATTTAACAACCATGTTACTTACTTAACAACGGCAGTGATTCACTTAGCAGCTGTGGCAAGAAAGGTCTTAAAATGGAGCAAAAGTTGTTTTAACTGCAGTGATTCACTTAACTGTTTCACTTAGCAACAGTAATTTTGGACTCAGTTATTGTTGTAAGTTGAGGACTATATGTATGCTTTTAAACATTATATGAAAATGTCTTTAATATTCTGAAAAATATGATTCAGGCATTCCATCCTATCACTTTTCATAAATAAATAAATATGTAAGGACAAAAAGTACACCATGGTAGCTTACTTCCTACTTCAATCATGAATCTCCATTCTAGTAGGAGCTACAATACTTGCCTCCTCCATGTTTTAGGGTCCGTCAGAATGGTATAACAATCCACATACCCTTAAGTTTTCAGAGTAGAGAGACATTGCTGACATACATTATGTCATGTATGAGGTTTTTACATGTTTTCCACCCCCTCTTCTGGAAAAGGGAACGGAAATATCTATTTTTACACAGTGTATATCCGATGTGGTCAATATAACTAAAAACACCTATGTTTTAGCTGAGGAAAATATGTGATGAATATGTTGTTTAGTCTTTCTTTGTCAAATGGCATCCTGTGACTCATTACGCCAACAGGATGCTTTCAAGATTCTCAAAAACACAGAGGAGGGCAGTGTGTTCTTTTCCTGCTCTGTTGCTGGCTATGATTTCAAACTTAGCCATACAAGCCTTTGAGACCCTGATCCTCCAACGGTTTCTCCAATTTCCTTTTAATCTATCAAAATTGGTGGCTAACAACAGATGTGGTGAGGAAAGGAATATTCTACTATATGGCTGTAGTTCTTCATCATTTAGTAGAAATGCTGCATATGTTTGTATATTTGAAATTAAGCATTGTTTTATATACCTGTATGAGTTCTTCCTTCACTCAACTTTGTTCCATGATAATTTCTTGTCTGGAACCTAATTTAGTGCTATAATCACTTTGATTGCATTACATGCAGTTTTTCTATCAATATACTTTCTGAGCGGGATAATTAGAACTCTACACATAATTCCAAGCATGCAGTCACAAAAATAGTTTTGTATGAAAGTCTTATTGTATTGAGTATTTTATTTTCAGTTTACTATAAAATGATTTCAAGTAGGAAGATTGCTTTTTTACATTGGCAACATTTGGTTGAAAGTTTCTTTTTGACCATAATTCCAGAGTCACCTTCTTTAGCAGTTTCAGCTTAGCTCAAATCCCACTATCAAATTTCCTAAATGTTAATCTTCTCTAGAGCTCTCCAGATATTTTAGATTAGAACTCTGACGCTAGCAAGATTGACTGAGTATTGCAGAAATGATAATCTAACAATACATCATCAAAAAAAGGTCCTTGTTGTCAAAGCTGGAATTGTCAGGTCATCTCCTACAGTACTGGACAAAACAGAAACTAGTTCTACAGCTCAATATTTGGAAAAGTAGAACACTCAAATTTATTTTAGGAAAATGATTTATCATGTTAATTGATAGAGTGGGATTTTACTCTTTGCTTCTTTGTAGCCTTGCTACTTGATTACTCAGATGTTCCATTTATTCTGTTAATGAAGATATTCTTTCATTGAATTAAAGTTTGTTTACTCAATTTTCTTTGTATTTTTTTAAATTTTTGTACCAGATTTTTTTCTTTGTGTTATAAAGACTCAGTTTGATTGCTGCAGCACAGAAATATCTTAAAATGAGTATTTGAAATGCTAAATGACTTATTCTCTATATTAATTGGTACAACCTTCAGTTTGTAGGGTGACAATTGTCAGCTAGTTAGTGTGAATTTGTCAGGCCTTTAGAGATGTTCAAATCAATAAACAGTCTCAAAACAGAAAAAAAAAACTAGAACTACAGGTACTCTTCTGTTAATAACCATTCATTCAGTTTTTGTTCAGAGTTACTGCAGCAATGAATGGATGGTAGCTGTGCCCGGTCCCTGAAGTTATGGCCGCTGCAGTAACATGATCAAAATTCAGGCACTTGACAGCTGTCCTGTACTTAAGACTATAAGGTTGCTTCAACTCCCCCCTCCCCAGTCTTTCTGTCCCCCCTCCATGTCTGCCCTTTTGACAGCCTTGCACTCTGTCACTTATGCTGGTCCTGCTGTCCTGCTAGCTTTGCCACTCTGTACTCTACTGAATCTTCTGTGTATGCTCTGCTGGCCCTTTTTGCTCTATCAGTCTGACCGCATCCAGCTGGCCTTCCCTATCTTCTTCCTCATGATGCTGATGAGTTGCACGTAATCTGGCTCCTTGCAGCTCTGAAAGCTGCTATCCACACCAGACCTTCTTTCCAAAGCCATGTATGTGCCTCTGTCCAAATTGCATGTGCCCTTGTTCAAATCATGTATGCCTCCTCGCAAGGTTATGAAGCCTTCCCAAAGTTTGTGACAGTGCTGCATTCTGATTTGGACAAGGCTACACACAGCCTTGGAAAGAAGACCTGGATTGACCAGAAGCTGCCTTGCAAGGGCCAAGACCGGCACTTAGTCAGCAAGAGGAAGGTGAAGATTAGTTGAGGAGTGGCAGTGGGATCGAAGCACAGAGCAGCCAAAAGGACAGCGATGGGGAGGAGATAGGTGAGTAGGGGGAGTTGAAGGGGAGGCAGTCCCTTATCTTATGGAGGTTTGGGGCTGGGAGGAACCAAGCTGGGAGTGGCTTGGATTGGGGTCAGTTCTTACCTAGCGACTTGGTGGGATTCACTTCATGACAGAAACTGAGACTGCCAGGAAGAAGCCTCTCTTGAATCTATTCTTAATACATTCCCTGTTTTTTGGCGCTTAAAGCATATTTTGGACCAAGTTTAGTTGTAATCGTTTCTGAATAATTTCTTTAGACCAATGTTCATGACATCCAACATAAATAGATTAATAATCCCTAAGAAATTTCCTTGCACAAACGAAGTTCTATCCTTACTGTTCTTTTTAATTATGTGTTTTATATTTTCCATAGGGTATTCCAGGTCCACATGGAAATCCTGGGCTACCAGGTTTGCCTGGTTCAAAGGTATGCTACACATGAATATTATAATGTTGATGATTTTTCACTTAGCAACCATGTCCGTTTGCTTAACAACCAAAGGGGAAATAAATATAGCATGCCCATCATGGCCACATGATTTTCACTTAACAACTTCATTGCTTAGGGACTAAATTACTCATCCCAATTTTGGTTTGCTAAGTGAGGACTATCTGTAAAAGCAAAACGATTATTTAAAAGGTGGTTTATGCTTTAAAAGGCAAGGGTTAACAAAGCAGCCATTTTTAATTTTATTTTCATACACACATTATTCAAAGAAAATATTTACATACTGAAATAAAGGTCTTGCTTCAGCATTCCTCTTTTATTTGTTTAGCAACTTCCTAAGCTTTGTTACCTGAAGGATAAAAATATTGTAATGTTTTGATAGAGTCAAATCTAGTAGGCAGTTTAAAAGGGAGCTCCAGTAGCAGAAAATACAGTATTTAGAAAGACAGCTGTATGGAATTCTGGAAAGCCTTCAACTCAGGTTTAGTTAGAGCTCCTTGATAAATGAGTTACAAGATAAAAACAACTACAGCCATTTGTTCTAATACAGTTCCTTAGGATGGGAATCTGACCTGTACTGACAGATGTTAAAAACTGTTCCTGGTCATTAAAATATATTAGATAAGCTTTGCACAGGTTAATGTAAAACAAAGACCATGTAATTTTTGAGTGTACTATAAGTATATAGCAGAGCAAATGGAGAATATTTTGGCATATGAATCTGGGATAGTGATGTTTGGGTTAATTTGGAAATTTAAGTTTTGGGGTTTTTTTTGCACATTATCCTGAAAGTTGAAAAACATGATTGATTCAAGGAGGAGGAGGAGGAGAATACTGCAGCAACACATTCAAGTGTAGTGAATACAGTTTTGACAAGGAATGGTTCCTTGTTCCTACACTTGCTGCTTCTTAATTTTCTCCTGTTCAATGTAAGGAAGTGAAAATATAATAATGATGGACAGTGAGGAATTAATAGGCCGGAGAAGTGGCAATTCTTCAACTGGAGCCAGAGAAGAATTTGAGGGTTAGTAGAACTTCCATCACTTTCAAGACAGGTTTAATCCTTTCCAAGTTAAGCTCAGTAGAACTTCATCAGCTTCTCTAATGAGCATGAACAGTTGTTTTTACCAAGATTATGTCAGCATATATCAATAGTCACCAACAAGTTTGAGCAGGCAGCCAAAAGGAAATTTATTTTGTTAATCCCAAGCTTAAACGTTCTGTGGGTTCTCAGTACACCTAACACTTAATCTCTTGTCTTTGATAGGATCCGCTGTTTATTTGTAAAAAAGAAATAAAAAAAATCCTTCAAGTTTTTTTTATAGTAATTAGAAGAAACAGATAGGATTGAAAAATGGGTTAATATTGATACATGGGTTAATATTGTATCATTTGAATCATTAAGAAAAGGGAAATGAAGAAATGCCCATTACACATTACAGATCCTGAACAAAATTAGTGTGGTAAAATTTTGAAATAATTCAGTAATTGATAGTATAAACATGATGACTTCATTTTGTTACATATTTTAAAAATGGTTTAAGAGACAAAGATACTTTATTAATATAGCTAGATCCTTTTCCAGATTTATAAACTGCTGCTTTGGGTTTAAATAATACATTTGTATGTAAGAATCTTGTAGAAGCTGATATTGAAGGAGTTATTATATAAATCATGTACTTGTTCCATTTTTCTACTCAAAATGATTCAAGTACATAATTCCTATCATTTGTACAAAGACATCATGATATAGTGTACATGATGCCATTTAGACCCTCTGTACCCCTAGCCTTCACAGATGCTCTTGCACACATAGTGACATTTCTTGAACCAAAAGTGATTCAGTTCCTTTGAGTGGATATTCCCAATTTAGGAAAATCAGTTTACAACCCTAACAACTCAGCCCAAGGGTTTCAAAAAGAACATGGTTTCCAAATAGGCTTAAGACAGGGATCAGCAATATATTACCCACACATGTGAGAATTAATCAAACATAAGATACCATTTGCTTTCCTCTCAAACTAAATATGAGAAGTTAACATATATGAGATTTTTGGAAGCTCTCAGAAAAGAACCTTGAAGTCAAGTAAGATGTGGGCTTGTTTATTACAAGCTTTCTCACTTGAGGTTGGGGGAGAAAAATTTGAAACTTTCCCATTTTACTTCGGGAGGTTAAAAAGGTAATTACTTTGCCATTGCCCCAGAAGTTTGCTAACATTGGCTTAAGTTAGGCTAAAGCTAAATAAATGCAGAAAAGAAAATTAGGAGAAAATTTAAGGAAAAGAAATAATAGGAAAACCAATATTAGAATAAAACTAAGAGGAAGATAAAGGAACATAAGAAAGGAAAATATTATGAATTATTGGGGATATTTTTGGATGCAGCTTTACTGCTTGAAAATTGAGGAGATTGAAGAATAGGGGTGTCTTTTTATTGGAATAAGATGGTGGTAATTTGATTTGACCTTTTAGAATTGTATTTTAAACAACCAGAGAAGTATTAAATATTTCTAAAATATAGCTACTAGAATGCTAAAACTATGTTTTTCTCTTTCTAGATACAAGTCATCTATACATCTTATATTAGAACAGCTAATGTTGTAAATTGTGTGTAAAAATAATACCTCCAGGATATAATGGAAATTATTTGCTTGATTAAAGTTTTATTTTATATATTTCATTGAATCTATATAGCCTTCTCCTAAATAATGTACTCTCTTCTAAGTGATTTTAGTAATAATACCAGTGCCTCGTATATTAATTTGATTTTGTTATCCCAGGGCCACAAAGGTGATCCAGGGTTTTCCCCAGGAAAAGCAAAGCGTGGAGAAAAAGTAAATGATTTATTATCTAGAACTATCTAATAGAAATATTGCTTATATTCTTATTTATACTGTATGATTTATGTCCAATTTAAAATTATAGGAGGATTATGTAGATAAATGAAATTGTGGTTTGGAGAGTGACAAAGATTTTCTTCTTAAAGCATGGGCATTAACAGAAATTCCTTGCTTTCGTCAAAATGACCAAAGCAGTGTCATACTGCAAGCTACACCTTTTTGGTGGGGGGGTGACTGACAATGTAGAAACAAAAGGGAAAAGAAAATGATGGGTTTGCCTAATTGTTAAAAATATGGTTCTCAAAATGTTACATTGGTCCATATAATGTGCTCTTTGTAATGTTGTTGACTTTCTTTTGGATACAATACATTTAACTGATTAATTTTGTTTGGAAAGACCTCTTTGGTACATCTGCAGGTTTTTCAAAATTTATATTACTAATTTTAAAAACTAATAGAAAGATGGTAGAAATGAATACTGCATGTTTTATACTTGAAAAAAGTTTGGAACTATTCTACTATTAAGTAACAATCCTGTCTATTTATTGAAGATTGATATACACCAGGGCAGTCAAGCTGTAATCTAACTGGAATCACCTTGCAAGTTTATTGTTGCAAGATTCATCACCCAGAGCTTGATGCAAAAGACTAATTGAATTCAGATTAACTCTTGATGATTTCATGGACATGTCTATGTAGCTGTGTTGTAAATAATGTGGAGTTCACATTATTTCCTTCAATATTTTTTCAGTGTTCTGTCATTGTATTACCATCAAAATCAGACATGATGCTATTCAATTTTTTAAAATAATAATCCATGTTAAACTTAGTACATCAGAAATTCAGCAAGAACCTATTTTGATTTAAATGTTTCTGCTTCCTGGACTCCATTCTTAATATCAGCACTTAGCAGTGTTCATAGTTCTTCCACAAAAATTCACTCCAGATTATTCTTTATTTCAGAAATATAATTTAAGAAGAGCAAGGCATGATAATGTTCCTGCTGTACTACCAAGAATCAGGAATCCTTGCTAGTTCTCTGCTGTTCTCACAAAGATCTGCAGGAGATTCTCTGAATCTCTGGCTTAAAGTCACTGAAATCTTTTAATGGTAGAAGCAATACCATGATGATGGGTCATATTACAGTAGATTGAGAGCTGTGGGGAACATAGTCTTTCCAGAGTACATGGTCTTCTTCGATCTGGTATCATGCTACATTAACGTTCTACTAAATTTATAGGGTGATGCAGGACTAACAGGGTTACCTGGCATAGAGGGCCTCAAAGGTAGAAAGGTAAGATTCTTTTTTTTTTTTGTATGTGTATTTGTAGGCCATTATTAGGGTTTATAATTACAATTAATTTAATAGCAATCGCACTTAAACTTATCTACTGCTTTATAGTGCTTTAGAGCCCTGTCTAAGCGGTTTAAAGAGTCAGCATATTGCCCCCCCCCCCAACAATTTGGGTCCTCATTTTACCCACCTTGGAAGGGTGGAAGTCTGAGTTAACCTTGAGCCTGGTGAGATTTGAACTGCCAAATTGCTGGCTGCAGCAGAAGTAGCTTGCAGTACTGCACTCTAACCACTGCGCCACCGAGGCTAAATATATATTTAATATATATTTAATGCTCATATGTAAAAGGAATTTCTTACAGATTTCAGAATCTGAGGTTGCAGTTTGTCATCAGAGCCACTCCTGATATTGAAAATGTAGGAAACCAAGTTTTCAATAACCTTTAAGACTCCAATACCGTAAAACATTGTTTAAATAAATCTGTTATAAAAAAGAGTTTCCAAGAAAAGCCCTCTAACAGTATAAATTACTTGAATGTACCATGGATGTCTTGGAAACTATGGAAATTTACAAATTAATTATAATTTTGTGGCAATTGAGGTGCTCCTTTGACTGGAATTCTGCTATTTGTAGGAAATTAAGCATATTTTATGTAAGAAATAAATAGTACATGGGTTGAGATAATACTGTGTTTCTTTTGAGTTATGATAGTGAGCTTCTGATTGCTTATTTGGTGCAGAGATCTTCAAATCTATTAAAGTGGTCAGAGTTGATTAGGCTAATTCAGTATCTAATATTTATAAATTGTCAAGAGACTCTTAGGGAACCTGAAAAAAAACATTATAATACTCATACATAATTATTTAGCATTCATATAGTAAGCTGCAAGATTATACAAAAAAGTACTTTGGAAATTTGATTTCTTCTTTCATTTTAAAGATCAAACATATTCATTTGCATAATGTCTCCCATGTTATAATTACATTATGTAGTCAAATCTTTCTCTATATGAATCCAGTTGTGTGAAATATAGAGCTTTGTAGCTTTCCTCATGGGTATTCCTAAAAGTCTTTCCCATTAGACAGAACTTCAAAATATCATGTGGCTGTAATTTTTATAAAGAAATCACTTTGAAGATACAGCACAATTTTACTTGGCATATACCGTATTTGCCGGCGTATAAGACGACTTTTTTGCCCTGAAAAACATGCCTCCAAGTGGGGGGGTCGTCTTATACGGCGAGTATATAACAAAGGTCGTCTTATACGCCAGCAAATACGTTGTTGTCACTCGGTGCAAGAGCGACAGGGGCGGAGCTCCGCAACTTGCGAAGCCCCTTCAAGCCCAGCCGGAGTCTCTCTTCCTCCTCCTCCCCCACCCACCCACCCACCCACCCACTCCGCTCGTGCGAGCGGACAGGCAGGCTCCAGGCTTTGCCCCCATCCCTCACCTCCTTCCATCCCCCTCCACCCCCCCCACCCAGTGGCAGAAACTTCGCCGCACGTGGGGACGAGTGGAGGGGGTGGGAGAGCAGCGACGCAGCTCAAAGCTGAGAAAGCGCCATCCTTGCTTTTGTGCTTCGGGAAGAGTTCATGTTTTTTGTTTTTTTGTTTTTCTCCCAGGAATGGGATGCTGCTCGTGCGATTTTCTTTGGGAATTTTTCTCTTCCCGGTTTCAGCCTTTGCTCCGAATCCTCCCCCCCCCCATTCACTTCTGGAAAGGATGCTTGTGTAACTCTTTTCCTAAGCGTTGCTGGGGTGGGGGGGGGGGCAGTGTGCAGCGTGAGCGAGAGGCTCTTTTCCTTTCTCCCTGAGCGCAAAACCGTCTGCCTTCTTCTCTCTTGGACGGACCGAGCAAGGCTAATAAGATAATAATAAGATAATAAGATAAGATCCTAAGCGCGTTGTGGAAACAGATCTGGATCTCATTGGAGAAAGGTAGCAAATGAATGAACTGGACTTTTGGCAAGTCTCGGGGTAGGAACTCGACGCTTTCTGGAAAGTTAGTGAGCAGGAAAATAGACATCCTTTCCGCTTTCTCCCAGCGTGGGTATTTCATTATCCCTCCCTGTAAGAAGTAACAACCACAAAGCCAAGGGAAAAAACGATGCGCAGGAAAAAGCCACAGTAGGAAGCAAAGATTTCTCCCCCCCCCTCTCTCTCTGAAATAATTAATGTCGCAATCAGTGTGGTGCACCCTTGGAGACAAATTGGTTGGGGAGGTGGAAAGATATTAAGAAACAACTCGACTGTTTTTCGTCCAGTTTTATTTTTATTTATTTATTTTCCCCTGAAAAAAGCAGATCGCAAAGAAAGAGAGAGGAATTGAGTGCCAGCCTGAGAAAGGCGAAGCTGCCTCTCTAAAGCATTTTGGTGGCTTTGTAAGTTTGGGGAAAAGGGACGGGGTGTCAATCAAGAATTATATCCAGAATACCCCAAGTGTTACAACTTACCGTATTTGCCGGCGTATGACTTTTTTGCCCTGAAAAACATGCCTCCAAGTGGGGGGGTCGTCTTATACGGCGAGTATATAACAAACTCTATATTTTGAGTGGAAATGTTGGGGGCTCGTCTTATACGCCCAGTCGTCTTATACGCCGGCAAATACGGTAAGCAATACAGTACATGCTGGGCTTTTCAGTAAAGCATTGGCACCTTGTTGGCAGCCATGTGCAAAGGCAGAATCATAGCTTGTATATTCTTACAAAGCCAAGGGAAAGAAAAAGGCAGACATAGTGTAAACGGCAAAATGTTTTGATAAATCTATCTAGGTGACCTTAATATAATTTATGTCCTCCTGCTAGTTAGCATGCTAGCCACACTATCTCTGAGTACACAATGAATATAAACAATTTGACTAGGAGTGATGATGTTATCTAGCTTGGGTAATGAAATGTCTGGAAGAAAACAGGCAAACTCAGAAAGCATCAAAGTCCCCTCATTTCAACCCTGAGCTATAAATATTATCCTTTATTGATAAACAATTAATCAGATTCCTGATTATTCTTTCTCCTTGTTGCCACTCAGGATCAATTCAGCTTGTTGTGCCTTATAAGGGTGCATGCCAGCAGCATGTGTCGTAATAAATTTTTACTATTTTTATTATTTGTGTTCTGGAACAATTGTTGAAAAAAACTGACATTTCAATTCAAACTATGTTTTTACATTTTTTGAATAATGCTTTGTATTTCTTCAGGATTCCATGTCCTAAAATAGGGACACAGAAAAAGATTAATATTAAATTTTATTGCTATATATCTGGCTAGTCTGATAACTAATACATTTAGAGGTCTTTATTGATTGTCAGATCTGCATGAAGGCCTTACCTTCAAAGAGATAGGGTTGAATTTTGTATTCTTTCAAAGTACAATATAAATGTTTTACCACAACAGCCCTTCATCTTAGAAAAAAAATTAGTAAATAAAAAACAGGCTTTGCAGTTGAGATGGGAAGAAATAAAAATATATGGCCAGAAATGAAAGATCACTTTCCATTTTACAAAAAATGGAAAGAAGGACATACAACTAAGGCAGAATATCAGCAGATAGCCAGAATCTGCAAAGACGAAGTCAGGATAGCAAAGGCTCAGAACGAACAAAGGCTTGCAACAAAAGTCAAAGATAATAAAAAAAGTTTCTTTCAACATATAAATAACAAAAAAAATATATCAAGGAAACAGTCGGTCCACTAAAGAGAGAAGATAGCAAGGAAGTAACAGGCAACAGAGAGAAAGCAGAACTGCTTAACTCATTCTTTGCATCCGTCTTCGCACAAAAAGAAACTAGCTCAACCTACCAAAAACATAACTGTAAAAGACAGACCAGAAGTAAAAGTTAAAATAAGCAAAAAAATAGTAAGGGAACACCTGACTGATCTTGATGAAAACAAATCACCGGGGCCTGATGGATCACATCCCAGAGTTTTAAAGGAGCTGGCAGAGGTCATCTCAGAACCACTGCACCATATCTTTCAAAAATCCTGGAGCACCGGGGAACTACCAGAGGACTGGAAAAGAGCTGATGTGGTTCCCATCTTCAAAAAAGGAAAAAAAACAGACCCAGGAAACTATAGACCGATCAGCCTAACATCAATACCCGGGAAGATACTGGAAAAGGTAATAAAAAAAACAAATCTGCCAACATCTAGAAACAAGTAAAGTAATAACTAGCAGTCAGCACGGGTTTGTTAAAAACAGATCATGCCAAACCAATCTTATTTCATTCTTCAACACAGTGACTAAATTAGTAGACCAGCAAAATACTGTGGACATAATATATTTAGATTTCAGCAAGGCATTCGACAAAGTAGACCACAACCTACTTCTTAGTAAGCTAGAAAAAAGTGGAATAGATAGCACCACCACTAGATGGACTCGCAACTGGCTGGCAAACCATACTCAACGAGTAGTCCTTAATGGGTCTAAGTCTACATGGAGGGAAGTAAGCAGTGGGGTGTCACAAGGTTCAGTCTTAGGCCCAGTACTCTTCAATATCTTCATTAACGACTTAGATGAGGGAATAGAAGAGGAACTTACCAAATTTGCAGATGATACTAAGCTGGCAGGAATAGCTAACACCCAAGAAGATAGGCTCAAGATCCAGATAGATCTTGACAGACTAGAATACTGGGCCATATCTAACAAAATGAAGTTCAATGTAGAGAAAAGTAAAGTCCTACATTTAGGCAAGAAAAACCAAAAGTACACATATAGACTGGGTGAAACCAGGCTCAATACCAGTAACTGTGAGAGGGATCTTGGAGTCTTAATGGACAACCAGCTAAATATGAGCCAGCAGTGTGCAGCAGCAGCCAAAAAAGCTAATGCAATCCTAAATTGTATTAACAGAGGGATACAATCAAGTTCAAGGGAGGTACTAATACCACTCTATAAAGCCTTAGTAAGACCACACCTAGAGTACTGCATCCAGTTTTGTTCTCCACATTATAAAAAAGATGTTGAGACTCTAGAAAAAGTACAGAGAAGAGCAACCAGGATGATT